GGGGCCCCCTTCTGTGCCCCCCCCCCCCCCCCGTGTGTATTTTTCTATCATATGGCAGCTTGCTGTGCCTGGAGCCCCCTCATTGCCTGCCTACAGAAGTGTTGTCACAGCAACACACAACACACACTCCATAGACACAACACAGGCCGGTCCTGTACACAATGGCTGGCTCCATCACCCAAACATTGGGATCTTTTGTTCCCATCAGAGGGGACACAAAGCCTCCTGACATCCGCCTTGATCCGCTGGATTTCCTGGCCGCCCCCGGGCACGCCTCTCTCTTGTCTTCCCGTTATTTCATCAATCGCCCATGACTGTACACAGTGCATAGGAATCCGGCACACACACACACACACAGTCACACGACTGCCCAGGCTGGCGACATGCATTGCACAACACAGACCTGCCGTGTCCTTCTTGCTCCCCCGGATCTATCGTTATCTCCGAGCCTCCAGCTCGCTATTGTTGTCCGGTGCACGCCGGCGGCAGGGTCGGAGCTCTCAGGCTGGGAGCAGGCAGAAGTTTGCTCATTGTCTTCCCTCTTCGCAATGACAGTCCTTACTCCTATCCATCTTAAGGGCCGATGTCACCCATCTCTCCATCTCCGCCCCCCTTTGGGTTTTATTCCCCGCCCTCCCGGAGGAAGAAAATATCTGTGAATCGAGAAGAGGCTGCAACCCGATCTCCAGCTGCAGCAGCAGCAGCTCGCCTCGTGACGTCAGCGCCCTCCCGTGCTATTTATATCCGCCCCATTGGATTTCATTCATGAAAAACAACGAGGGAGGCGCGTGCACGGTGGGGCCGGGCGCGCTCACCGCGAGCCAGGGGCTGCCATGGAAGCCTGCGAGTGTGTGTATGACTGGCTGTAAACAGGCCTCCTGGGCACACAGGACAACACTGGGGACAGGCATTGTGTAGAGTGACGTCCATGTAGTAACAGCTTGGAGCCATGGGGAGGGAGGACAAAGGGACCAAATGCACCTACCTCTACACCACACAGAACAATGGGAGATGAGGGTGCACTGACCTGAAATGTATTGGGCCCCATAAAACTATTGGTGTTGCAGAGGGAGCAGTTGTCACCTGGATATTGTGTGCAAAATTGTAACAAAACAAAAAAAAAAAGACACAAATCATCTATTAGGTGACCATCATTCAGCAATTCTCATCCTTTGTTTAGGCATGGTACCCTTTAAAAGTATGCAAGGCACCCCAATCTAAAAAGTTAGAAATAATATGTGGTCCCTCCAAAATCTATACCAGACCCTTATCTGAGATAGAGGTCTGGTATGGATTTTCAAGAGGGGACCCCAAGCAAAAACAAAAAAAGTGGTATCAGGAGCAACCCCCATCACATCAGAACCCTCTATTTGCATCAGAGTCCCCCTTTTTACATCAGGACCCCCTCTTCATATCACAGTCCCCCCTTGACATCGGAGGCCCACTTCTTTCTCATCCAGAACCCTCTTCACATCAGGAGCCCCCATTCACATAGTAACCCTCCTTCACATTAGAGTCCCCCTCTTTCTCATCAGGGGCCCCCATTCACATCAGTAACCCTCCTTCACATTAGAGTCCCCCTCTTTCTGATCAGGAGCCTCCCTTCATATAAGGAACCCACCTTAACATCAGAGTTCCCCTCTTTCTCATCAGGAGCCTACATTCACATCAGACAGGAACCCTCCTTAAAATCAGTCAAGCAAAACAAATGGCAAACACACTCATCAATTTGTCTCCAGCTTTATAGCAAGGTGCACATGGAAGGTCTTTATACAGTACAACAGCAAAACGTTTCCCAGCACACTCACCAGCCAGCATGCAAAAAAAAAACTTGTCTCACCGATAAGGTTAAAATCTTTTGCCACATGTGCTCCAAGATGGAGACTCTCATAGGTTAGAGTTAGGACCGCACTATATAGAGGTGCCTTGACGAGGCACTGCGGCTTTCACATATTCTGCAGAAGACGTGTATCTAAAACCTCTGTTTTTAACCTTAGCGGTGAGACAAGTTTTTTTGAATGCTGGCTGGCGAGTGTGCTGGGAAACCTTTTGCTGTTCTCTTTAACATCAGAGTTCCCCCAATTCACATCAGGAACACTCCTTCACATCATAGTCCCCCTCTTTCTCATCAGGAGCCCCCATTCACATCAGGAACCCTCCTTAAAGGAGGAGAACTATGAGGTGAGTGATTTCCACTCATTCGCGGTATACTGAGCCTAGGGTGACGGGAGGACACTAGTTTGTGTCCTCCCATTACCCTAAGGAGAACTATGGGGAAAAGACTTAACCCCATAGTTCTCCTTTAACATTATAGTCCCCCTCTTTCTCATCAGGAGCCCCCATTCTCATCAGGAACCCTCCTTCACATTATAGTCCCCCTCTTTCTCATGAGGAGAGGAGCCTCCCTTCACATCAGACGCATGATACTCTGTGAACATTTTGAGACGCCCCAAAAGAGACCACAAGGCACCCTTGCTGAGAACAGCTGCCATAGTTTATAAGGGGTCATTCACCACCTACTGCTCGGCACACTCTATGCGCCCACAGTATATACAATCTTTTCAATTATATGTCACCCAACGTGTGACAATTGTAAGAAATCAAACATTATATATCATCTCCAGCACACCATAGCAAAAGGTAAAGGTTTTTATTCGTTATCCATAAAAAGCAACATTCAAGGGCCACTGGGGGCCTCCTCCTCCGGTAATAGTGATGCATATATCATTGTGTAAATGCCCAGAAGTTTAAGCCAGGGTATGAGATGCACATTCTAATGATGAATACCTGTACATGTACCGACTCTTTTCCTACAACAGCATTACATTCAAGATGATTTGCGCATGAACATTTTTTTTGCTTAGCAAGTCGGTCACATTAGTTTTTCTTTTTAAGGAAAATGTTGTCACACATATACCGTAGTGCATGTTTGTAATAAGAGAAGGCACAAAGCAGCATTATTTGGATGATTACAGAAAACAAGGACTGCACCTTGCTCATTGAACATGGGCGTCATGGGTGTATGATCAGCTAGACAGGATCATGCATCACATTTTCTGTGTGAACATACATCTTATACAAGCCCATGATTGAAGCAAACTGTATAGATTTATCTCTGCTTTTGTTCATTTGCTGTAGTAAATCAGGCCAAATGTATAGCACTACAAAGCAGGATACACAGCATATGTAATAAGAAAATATGGCTGCCCCCATGTATAACTGCAGAAGGGCCCATTCAAAGCATAGCATTGCGCTAAAGACACAGATACATGTGTTTAGTGCATGTAATCGCACAGGTGTGCTGTATTGCCATTCATTCTACTGGAAGGTGCATTGGGCTGGCACTTATAAAAAATGGCATTGCAATGTACCAGTGCACCTAGCATGCACTTCATTGCTTTGTGCGATAGCGTGTACTGAGCGGGCACTACTGTGCCTTTAGCACACCGCTACAGTTTAATAAACGCAGTTACTGTGCCTTTAGCACAATGCTATGGTGTAAACGGGCCCTAATACAGGGCTTCTTAAAGTGTGGGTCGCGACTCCATATGGCGTCGCGCAAGTGAATGGGGGAGAAGAAAATAACGTCACCAGCACTCCAAAGTATAGTCAAGCAATAGTCCATTTATTGGCACATTGCCATTCAAATGCAAGTGCTTTCGGGGCCTCAGAGGGTTCCCTTTCATCAGCCTCAGCCTGAGCCTGATGAAGGGGACCCTCTGAGGCCCCGAAAGCGCTTGCATTTGAATGGCAATGTGCCAATAAATGGACTATTGCTTGACTATACTTTGGAGTGCTGGTGACGTTATTTTCTTTCTGATCTTCTCACGGTGCCATCCGTGGCCACTACAAGCACCCACCCGTCCGTACGGGTCTTTTCTCTTCGGTAAGGAGTGCAGCTAGATCTTTTTGATTAGTGAATGGGGGGGGGTCGCGATCTGAATCCCTGGCCAGGGCCGCCATCAGGGCGTATGGCCAGTACTTGTGTGAGGGGCCCAGGCGGCTGGGTAGGCCTGGGCTCCAAGCAAGATTTTTTTATTGTTTAATATGTGCAGTGTAATTGTTAAGGTCGTGTGCCCCCTCTGTGCATGAAGGTTTTTTATTTTTCCAGGGGCGGAGCTTTCTTTAACCCAGCTTAAGCGGAGCACAGCTGCTGGAGGTAAATGTAAGGGTGAAGTAATTGACAGAGACACGGCGGCGCGGGAGGAGGGGGGGGAGATGGGGAGGAGGAGAGAGACACTGACCGACGCTGGGAGGGGGGAGAGGAGAGAGACACCGACCGACGCTAGGGGAGGAGAGAGACACCGACCAATGCAAGGGGGGAAGAGGAGGAGAGAGACACCGACCGACGCTGGGGGGGAGGGGGGCTTTTAGGAGAGAGACACCGTCCGAGGCTGGAGTCACGTAAAAATGTCCTCGCCCGAAAACGGGTCACGAGTGGAAAAAGTTTAAGAAGGCCTGCCCTAATACACATTGATAAGTATATTTACATCAACCAGAACTCTTACACAGTACATTTGTATAAAAAAAAATAGATCATGAACAGATTTCACTGACTTTAAACAACTTTGTTTGCAGGAGCTAGATTCATATTTTCAAACGGTCGGAACAGATAAACCATAATAAGTTATTAACACAGATCATTTAACAGAAATTCTCAAAAAAAATGAACATCCTGTATTTCTAGAACTGACCAAAGTGTTAGTTTCTTTCTAAGAATGAACTACACGATATAAACAGATAGAAACATCCTGTCTACAAGTGCACAGGAAGTCAAGCAGCTTACCATGTGCAGTTTAGCTGCTAACATCAGTGAAAGATACGTTCAGCTTTAGAAGCAGAAACACATTCTCAGAATTAAGATGCGTTCCGAATAAAACATTTGTAACACAGGTCACCCAAAATACTTCTATGTAATCGTGCATCCAATCCTCTCTCCTGGCTCTAACATTTCTAAATTAAAGCAAAACTCTGGGCAAATCTTAACGCTTGCAGTGAGGCTACCCCTGCACTGCAAGGGTTAAGTGCTCGTTTTGCCTAAGGAGCGAAAATAACAGAGATATACTCACCTGAATTACATCCAGACTGTTTGTTAGACCAGTCCCTCCAGTCTGTCTCCTCCGCTCCAGCGATGGTATATCCTTTGGTGGCTCACCTCCTATACACTGACTCTTTGCTCCAGCAGACTAAGGTCCTGAGGGGGAGTGAGGCTGAAGGCACCTCTCTAAGTGCAACCCGGGATCACTGTTTGGATGACTATAACTATATTTTAGTTCCCCACTGCAAGGGTTAAGATTTGATTTACCCAGAGTTCTGCTTTAATAAATAAACTTATAGGGAACAAATAACACAAACCAGATATTTCTAAGAATGTGACACAGAGGGGAATGTATTAAATCTGGAGCAGTCAGAATCTGGAGCTGTTGCCCATGGCAACCAATCAGCTTCTGTCATTTCAAAGCGTATCTGAACAATAGGTAATTGCTCCAGAGTCTGCCTGCCAGTTTTAATAAATTCCCCCCATTAAGTTTAAGGGCTTGATTTGGATACCATTTGCATGACACAAGCGCCTCTAGATGGTGCTAATGAGCATAGGACATGTCTATA